TCGCCATTTCGCCACGCCACTAGTAATAGCAAACATTTCGCGTATGTAGGTTGATTTTTTTTGCATTGCCGGGGATAGTTTCCTACTGTAGAACGCGATAGGTCTGTCATGCTGCATTAAAACGGCTCCGATACCCACACCGGATGCATCTGTTTCTAAAATAAATGGAATAGAAAAATCTGGTAAAATCAGAATAGGAGCAGTGGTGAGTAATAGCTTTAATTTTTCAAACGCTGCTGATTCCTTGTCGCCCCAGTGGAAATCTGTGTTAGAGGTTAAATCTGAAAGAGGGGCAGCTATAGTTGCAAAAATTTTGATAAATCTCCTGTAATATCCAGCCAATCCTAGGAAAGCGCGTACCTGGGTCACGTTCTTAGGTTGCGTCCAATTAATAATTGAACTAATTTTTTCCGGGTCGGGTAACAAACCTTTACCAGATATAATGTGACCTAAAAACTGGATTTGCTCTTGGGCAAACAAACATTTCGACTGCTTGGCAAAAAATGAGTGTTCCTTTAGAGTGGAAAGGACCGTCTGTAGGTGCTCCTTGTGGGCAGTCAGTGTGGGACTGTATATTAAGATATCATCAAAGAAAATGACAACGAATTTTCGTAAAAATGCTGAAAAAACCTCATTCATAGTCGCTTGGAAGGTAGATGGTGCATTGGACAGACCAAATGGCATCACGAGGAATTCGTAGTGGCCATGGTGTGTGCGAAAGGCTGTCTTGTGAATGTCAGAGGCATCCATCAGTATTTGGTGGTATTCGGACCGTAGATCGAGCTTGGAAAAAATTGATGCACCATGTAGTTCGTCTATTGTGGGAATTGGGAACTTGTCCTTGACCGTGATAGCATTTAAGGCCCTGTAATCAACACAAAAACGCCAGGTTCCATCTTTCTTCTTGACTAGTATGACCGGTGAGCTATAGGCAGAAGTGCTTGGGCGTATTATTCCTTCCTGTATCATTTCGGAGACCAACTTCTCAATCTCATTTTTTTGATAATGGGGATACCGGTAAGGCCTTACCTGTATGGGCTTTGTGTTGGGAAGAAGGTGGATATGGTGGTTTGTTGGTCTATGTGGGGGAAGTTTGGTAGGTTTAAAGAAAACATCTTGGAATTCGGTGAGGATGGGTGAGATGGTGTGTGGAATATTAGGCATTGGGTTTGTACGTGGCTGTGATGTGGTCATACACATGAGATAGGCCTGGATTGGTTCGTGGGCTACTAGTTTGTGTAGTTGGGCATTGGTAATGGCGGAAGGTGTTAAACTGGTGTTGCCATGAAGAGTGATGGGTTTAGATTGGTGGGTAAAGGTCATGGTAAGTGTGTGGTAATCTGTTATTACTGGTCCCAAGGTGGATAGCCACTGTACACCGAGGACAATATCCGCGCCCTGAAGTTCAAGCACAAAGAGGTCAATATCAAAAATGTGTTGATTTGGAAGGTTGATACGAACCTTAGTACACATTCCTTGGCAAAATAGGTTGTCTCCGTTGCCCACTTGGACCTTAAATGGGCTGATGGATTGGATGGGTAAGTGCAAGTGGGTTGCAGCGCGTTCTGTAATGAAGTTATGGGTGCTACCATTGTCTATCAGTATCTGGACAGCGGTGCTTTTAACAGTGCCCGTGAGACGAAAAGCCTTGGTTGAATGGTGACCAAAGAGGGCGTTGAAACTGATTTCAGGATACTCAGGGTTGTCAGGAGTAGTTTCTTCTGTTGTTTCCTCGGCATGCGCAGTTTCTTCGTCGTCATCGACTAACATGCACATAAAAGTAGAACCCTGTTTGCATTTATGGCCAAAAACATACCGTTCGTCACAGTTGTAGCAAAGTCCCTTTTCCCTTCGTGCCAGCATTTCACTTTGGGAAAGCCGCTTGATTGGAACAGAAGAGGACTGAGAGGTTGGTGGTTTGACCGGTTGAGTGGTGGTGGTAGTGTGGGTACGTTGTCCCCATCTAATTGTGCGATCTTCAGCCTCAGCGAAATTGCGTGCAAGGCCCCAGGCTGCATGGAAAGTCTCAGGTAAATGTGCTTGCACATCACTGCGTACCTTGGGTTTGAGACCCGAGATAAACATGCTTTTGCGTAGAGCGTCCGTGATGCCGTGTACCTTACTTGACATAGTTTCGAAAGCTGCTTGGTATTCCCGGACAGAACCGGTTTGAGTCAGACGACATAATGCTCCCGCGGGATCCTCATAAATTGTTGGGCCATATCTGCTGATGATGGCTGTGCGAAAGTCTCGCCAAGTGGCAATGAGTCCCTCGCGAGACAGATTGCGGAACCAACTGAGGGCTGGTGGGTCAAGGTGAAAGGCAGCCAAACGCAGCTTCTCCGGTTCTGTAATGGAGTAATACTCAAAATATTGGTCGACGGCAAACAACCAATCAGTAGGATCGCCCTGGGCAAACCGAGGGAAGACAAGGCGGACCGGTTTGGGTTTGTTTGGATCAGTACGAAGCGGAACTGGTCCAAGAACGCTACTAGCAGGTTGCTGGAGACGCTGGGTCTCTAGAAGAGCTGTGATTTCGCGCTGGAACTTATCGAGCCTGAGGTCGAGTTGCTCCTGGTTGGTTCGTTGCATCTGCAGAAGTAATGTTTGCCGATCCTCATTGGCGGATGTGATGAACGTTGTACGTCGTTCGTCCATAGCGGTGATCTGATCTTGTAATTGGGCCATGCGTGTAGTCTTTTCAGCCATGGAGGTAAGTTCAGGAATGAAAGCACCAAATGTAAGGGGGTAGAGGGAAAATAGGGAAGAGAACGAATTTGAGAAGAAGGAGAGATAAGAATTCTGTCAAAACAACTCTTCCTTCATTGAGGTTTGCTTCCAATATTTATAGTAAAGTAAACCCTAATCTAGAATTCAAATACGAAGGCTGTTGCAACAGCTAATCCTATGATTACGAAAAGAAACAACTAAAGGAAATAACAACGCTTAAAAATAGGAATGACTACTATCTTAATTAAACCGGAAATAAAATCAGAACAATAATCAGCAAGCTGGCCTCAGATCATGTGAGGTAGTCATCTAAATATCTTGGGCTGGTCCTCATGCGTTTGGGTTGTACCCTGATGGGCTGGGCCATGGGTTGGGTTACAACAGACATGGCTTTGGGTCCCGTCAACGTGGTTGCCAAGAATGGCTTACAAGTACCGTCATATAGTGATTTGCCACCTAAGTTCTGTCAATAATCGTGATACGACTCAACCCAAAAAATGCCACGTGGCATGGCATTGGTCTAGATTGCTGATGTGGAAACAAGTCCCGTCAACAATACTGACGAGACTGGACGCGGCAATACAGGTGACGGGACTGACTACTCTAGTCTAGAAAAACTTTCCACATGTGCTTTGAACAGGAGACATTTTTGCTAAATATTAGCACTACGGTGCTTTTGCCTGAATCATACGATGTGTCTTATATCTTTTGAAATTAAGATTTGTTATGGCTGCAAAATAGTACTTACTTGAGATTTGCTTGACTGTTTGTTCTTTTTTTTTTAAAAGCTGAAATTTTTACCTTTTAAAAAAGGGTTAGGTTATATTTACAAACTACACCATGTACTATAGGTGGTACATACTCAGTATGTACTACTGTACTACCCATAGTATATGGTTGTAGTTTGTAAACAAAAAAATTATAAATACAACTCTGTTCTTTAGAAAAAGCAGAAGCTAAAAGCAGGTAAATAATCGTTCAAAATTTTCACTCTTGAAGACTTAGCCCCCCTCGTTCGGCTACTCCATTATCTCATGCAATATGAGATTAATAGATCTCTTTTGAAAAAAAACCAATTAACTTTTAAAATCAAGAAGTGCAGAAGTTACCTGCCCAGGTACATTTTGCTTTCCTTCTCTTATGTGAATCAAGTAGCAGCAGTTTCTCTTCATTGACATTGACACTATGGCTATCCATTTTAATTTTTTCCTGCCATTTTGATCCTTGCAGATGAACCTTGCGAAACACGAGCAATATCATGTCACTTTGCTCAAATTGCCAGAATGCACGATGTAGAAAGGGCATAAGAGTAATTTTGTATTTAAAAAATGTTTTTTTATTTTAACATCCAAAATAATATTTTTAGTTAAAAATCTTTTTTAATATTACATCTAAACACAAAATAACTTTACTTTTTTTTAAAAATAACTTGTAATTTTTTTTTTTTCAAAAGCTCGTCCAAACATACCGACAACTTTTTTTCTCTTCTAATCACTAGTTCCACAAGCTTTACGTCTTTTGAATAAGGTAAAAAAAAAAACACACTCTTGATCTTGGAAGTTGCAAGGTGTGGTTTAGTATTAGTAACGATGAATGGGATTTAAATGCTGTCTTTTGCAACATTCTGGAGCAAAGGATACTCCAACTGGGACATATATTTGCTTGTTTGTTTTCTCTTGCTAGTGGCAATATTAATTATTAAAAGTATAATGAATTACGATAATATTAATTCAATAATAAGTTGTTCATTTGCTAATTACACTGAATGTGATAATTATACTAACAACTTCAATTCCGCTAGGTCCCGTTGGTTGCACACAAAAGATTGTATTGTTTCATCTATATAGTCTATAGTCTATAGTCTATAGTCTATACATTCATCATATTACTTTTTTGATTTCCTCTCCATCTATTAAAATAAGATATGATTCTTCCATTGATAAAACTTGATAAATTAACATGCAATAGATATCCCCAATTGTTTTGAGACATGTTCTTAATCTAGCAGTAAAAATATACATATAAAATATATATTTACATATATATTTATTCAAGTCAACCAAATTTACCCACTGATTGAACCAGTAACTCAATAATCTAATATCCCAACTGAGTTGATGACAGGATCAGATTTTATAACATCGTTCATGTGTTTGAAAGGGAAATTATTTTGAATTAAAATAATCTAATTTCCCATAAAACGAAGGGGAAAGGAATGGAAGGATGGTTAAATCAAGTAGTAAGTGTCATTCGGCTAGTATAGTTTAGATGTTTAAAATCCTCCAGAAAACTTCAAATTTTGAGAACTTCAAATTTTAAACTGTTCATAAGAATGAATAAGGGTTTTGAAAAACTACATTCTATTCCCTCATTTTTAGAAAGCTCCCAAACAAAAGGGGAAGGTTTAATTAAAAATTTCCCGTCCCCTATATTTTCCTCCCTTCTCCACCCTAACTTCCTATTAACATAAAGTATAATTTACACCCGCACATGTGCAAGTACTATAGATAATGAAAAGAGCTCACTGTTGTTGCCACTCCTGAATTGCATTATGTAGCGCATAATTAGGCATCAAATCTGTGTGTTCAAGCTTGAGGTTTGTCATGGGGGAAGTGTCGTGACCACTTTTCAACCATCCTCTTATTGCCTCTGCTTCGTATGTAAAGCCATCGGCAGCTATGTATGGATCTTCCATCACTTCCTGCAAAACCAATAAATATCACTATGATTATCATTAATAGGAAAGCAATTAACTATTTATATCACTTATATTTTGAACGAGAAACCCATAGCTTTGACTCTGAGAATCAGCATGCTGTAACAACTGAAATAATTTAGCAAGAGTAAGTGGCATAGAAAGGAAAAGGAACATCCAGCACCCTACTTGAGAAAGTAATTTCTTATATAAACTAATAGAGCTACGTAGCAAAAAAAGAAAGCCAGAATTTCGATTAAGGGTGATTATTGGATAAGAAGAAGTGGGTAGGACCAAGCATCTATACAGGAGTCAATAAATACTAAGTCATTCTGCCAAACGTTTCAGGCGGAAAAAAGAAGAAGGTTATGTAGCATTTTCCATACAATAAAGGACAAGATTTTGATAAAGACGCATTTGGAACAATTTATGACCTTCACCTGAAAAATGGGGCAGACAAAATGCGAAGGAGCACGTTGAAGCTTCTTTGAAGTCAAACATGGTGGCATGTTGATGCAAGTAGCTCTGAATGGTTCAAGAACACACCAGATTTCGGACACAAGGTCTGGCCGGTTCAACCAAGTCTTTTTGCAACACCTCAATGCTAAATATGCCAGTTGTTCGGTTTGATGAAGAGGCCATTCACCAGCTGAAAAGTCCAATACTGCTTTAAGGTTTTCCTTTTTCAATGCACATTTCATATCTCTAACTAGCCCCGAAAGTGGTCTTCCAGTTAGAAGTTGTAACAATATGATTCCGAATGAATACACATCTGATTCTGGTGTGAACTTGCCAGTGACAAGATACTCCGGATCTAAATACGCCAAACTTTCATTTGGGTTGTTACATATTGTGCTTTTGTCAGCTGAATCCACACTTTGTTGGACTAAAGAAGCAATGCCCAAGTCACCAAGTTTGGCAACAAAGTTAGAATCAAGGAGGATCTTACTAGGTTTCAAATTCCCATGGATAATACAAGGTTCACTTGAGTGAAGGAAGACTACAGCAGAGCATATGTCAGTAGCAATGGATATTCGAATTTGCCATGGAAGTGGTGTCTTGTCTTTGCGGGCAAGGTGGCTTTCAAGGCTGCCATTGTTTAGGTACTCATACACAAGTGACCTGGACTCTGCACAGCTTCCAATTAGTGTTAACAGGTTTGGATGTCTTACCCTACTCAAAACCTCTACCTGAAATTCATCCAATAATATAGCCAAGTAAAAAAAAAAAAAAAAAAATCTGTGAGTTCCTCGGTTAAGCAGAAGTGCAGAACCTATGACAGATTCATTCAATCAAGATTTTTTGGACCAAGCAGTCAAGATTATTTAATCACATGTATGCTTGAAGATTAGAGACTTGCAAATTGAGAATATATATTTTAGTCTAATAAGAGGAGCCAATTAGATAAAGCTTTAAAGTAAAAAGAAAATAGAACTCTGGAGACTTATAATTGATCTTTTTTAGAAAGGAAAAGTCATAAATGCACCATACTGATAATTTCTCTCGCTCAATATACATCAAATTATCAAAAAGTCCTAAAAAATTAGTCAGGTGTATAATAAGTTATAAAGTGATCCTATGATATTATAGTGCAGCTCTTTTGTTGTAAATAATTGTATGAGTAAATACCTTTCTGAGTCCTCAACAAAAAACACGGAACCCATTTTAATTCCTTAGAAAAAAAAAGTATCCATATTAGTCTTTTTTTAAGATAACATGGGTCTTCTTTGAATTTCAGAGGGACCACAATTTAAAAAAACTGGAATTTCAAAGGGACCATAAGTCGATTTTTTTTCCCAAGGGATTAAAACGAGTTCCGTGTTTTTTGTTGAAGACCCAAAAGGGTATTTACTCTAATTGTATTATAATTATTTATTTTTATTTATTTTTCATTCTTGAGTCTTCTTTGGGCTTTAACCCATTAGGCCATTCAGTCTCTATAAATACAGAGCTCTTGTACATTTTTAATATACAATTTTCACATAATACAATCCTACTTTTCAAGTTGGTATCAAAGCTCTCGCTTCTAAGGGCTCTACTTTCGCAACTGCCGCATTTAGAGCGGAACCTTATTTGTTAGCCTCTTGCCGCCACTACCCACTACCGGAAAAAAAAATTCAGGGACCTTTTGGACCAAGAGGACCACTGTTTGACTTCGTTTTTCCAGATCAATCAATCTACAGACATTTCCAGCAGTGGGTCTTTGATTACGTCACAAAAATAGGATCATTTTGGCCACTCACACCTCATTTGATCAAATCTGATTTTTGTTGTTGTTGTTTAGGATGTTTAGAGACCTTTACTTGTCATAAAAATTGGATCTTTTTGGCCACTCGTGCCTCCTTTGATTAGATCTGATTTTTTTGTTGCTCTTTAGGACGTTCAGAGGCTTCTACAACATCGTCTGGTTGTGCGTTTGTGTGTTTTTTGCCTCAAGTTGCAGATTTCTTGGCCTTTTCTGGTTTCCCCTTTTGCAGATCTAATAATTTTGCTTCTGTTTGGACTTAAACTTGAAGTTGTTCTGTTGTTTGGGCTCTCTGGAGACTTTTTTTTGACTTCATTGGTAATTACCCACTTCTTTTGGGTTGTTCCCTTTGATTTGTTTTGTTTGTCCATGGGACATTGGTGCACCTATTGTAAGAGTGTTGGACACATAAGAGACGTGTTTTCGCTTTCATGGGAAGTGTGATAATGTTACTCCATATGTGAATTTGCAAAATACCATCGAGTGTCCTTTCCTTTTAGTGCTATCAAAAGCATTGAACCTTTTTTTCTGCTTCATTCTGATGTTGGGGCCCTTCTAAATTGCATAGTGTTTTAGGTGCAAAATGGTTTGTTGTTTTTATTGACGATTGTACTCGGGTGACATGGATATTCTTGATGAAAGACAAGTCTAAAGTACCATAGATATTTATCCGATTTTATCACATGGTCGAGACTTAGTTTGGTAAGAATATTAAAAGATTAAGATCTGATAATGGTACTGAGTATGTCAACCAACGTCTGTCGCTATTCATTTCAGACAGAGGTATGATTCATGAGCTCACATGTGTTGATACCCCTCAACAAAACGGGGTTGCTGAAAGAAAAAATGTCACCTCCTTGAAGTCACTAGAGTGCTATTGTTCCAGACATCTGTTCCTAGTTCTTATTAGGGAGAAGACGTGTTAGTTGTAGCCTTTGTGATCAACCGCTTACCACGGGTCCTTAACAATACCTATCCTACTCGTTCCATGACTTCCTTCTTTCTTTTTGTTCCCATTTTGCTGAGTCTTCCGCCACGAGTGTTTGATTGTGTAGCCGTTGTCCATGTTCATAAACAACATCGCAGTAAGTTGGATCCTAGGGCTCTTAAGTGTGTCTTCCTTGGTTATGCCCCTGATAAAAAAGGCTACAAGTGTTATCATCCTCCGAGTCGAAATTTTTTTGTTTCTATGAGTGCCACCTTTTATGAATCTGAGTCCTTTTTTCAGGGTCCTTATCTTCAGGAGGAGAACAATTCTTCAGAAGGCTCGTCCCCTTCCTTCTGAGTCTAGTTCATCCTTGTCTACTCCTACACCTCTCCCTCCTGTGACTACTCTTGATATGTTAGAACCTTCAAGTACACATAAGATACGGAAAATTTTGACACCTGAATTGGTATATCAGAGGAGGAAACAACCCATACTGCTTCACCAGCAACTTCAATCGTCTGAATAACTGGTAAGTCCTGAATCTCTTGTTTCTGAACATGATATTATTGTCTCTAATGACTTACCCATTGCTTTTGATAATTTACTCAGCGTCTTTGATGACTTATCCATTGCCTTAAGAAAAGGAAAAAGATCTTGCACCCAATACCCTATTTCTCAATTTGTTTCCTCTACTAACCTTTTTATGTAGCACAAAAGCTTTATGTCAGCACTAGATTCCATTTCCATCCCAAAATCAGTGCACGAAGCATTAAAAGATAAGAATTGAGTTCAGGCCATGCAAGAGGAGATGAATGCCTTGGAGAAGAATAAAACATGGAAGGTTGTTGATAAACCCAATGGAAAGAAAGTAGTAGGGTGTAGATGGGATTATGCCCTAAAGTACAATTCTGATAGTACTCTTGAGAGATATAAGGCTTGATTAGTTGCCAAGGGTTACACTCAGACCTATGACATTGATTATGAAGAAACTAATGCCCCAATTGTAAAGATGAATATTGTGAGAACCTTGTTGTCTCTTATTGCCTATCACAACTGGGATATAAATCAATTTGATGTGAAGAATGTTTTCCTGAATGGTGAATTAGAAGAAGTTTGCATGGAAATCCCGTCTGGTTTTGACTCTATGGATGGAGAAAATAAAGTTTGTAGGTTAAAGAAGACCTTGTATGGATTGAAGCAGTCTCCTCGTGCTTGGTTTGAGAGGTTTACTAAGGTTATGATGACCGTAAGATACAAACAGAGTCAAGAAGACCACACATTTTTCTTTAAGCAATCTCAAGATGGGAAGCTTATTGTGCTCCTTGTGTATGTTGATGACATTATTATAACAGGAGATGATATTGCGGAGAGACATGTTCTACAAGCATGACTAGTCTCTGAATTTGAGATTAAAGACCTTGGGAGATTGAAATATTTCCTAGGGATAGAGATAGCTCATTTAAAGGAAGGAATTTTTATCAGTCAGAGAAAATATGTCCTTGATCTTCTTAAAGAAGCAAGAAAACTTAGGTGTAACCCAACTAGTACTCCTATTTGGCTCATACTAGACCAAACCTAACTTATGTTATTAGTATTGTGAGTCAGTTCAAACATAATCCAAAAGAAAAACACATGTAGGCAGTAGATAGAATTCTTCAGTACCTTAAAGCCACTACTGGTAAAGGATTGTTATTCCAGCATGATAGCAATCTCTCTTTAGAAGTTTATACTGATGCCGATTATCCTGGATCCGTGACTGACCGTCGATCTACCACTAGTTATTGTATGTTCCTTTGTGGTAACTTAGTGACATGGAGAAGTAAGAAACATGATGTGGTTGTCAGGTCAAGTGCAGAGGCTGAATTTCGAGTTATGGCTCAAGGCATTTGTGAATTACTATGGTTGAAGATTATACTTGACGATCTTAAAATAAGATATGAAGGACCTATGAAGCTATTTGGTGATAATAAGTTCGCCATTTGTATAGCTCATAATCCAGTTCAACATGATCGGACTAATCATATTTAGGTCAACCTTCATTTCATCAAAGAGAAACTGGATAACGGGTTGATTGCCACTCTATACATTTCTTCTGGGCGTCAATTAGTTGATATTCTGACGAAGGGACTTCCCTCAAATAGATTTCAAGAGCTTACTAGCAAGTTGGGAATGATTATCTATTCCTCAGTTTGAGGGGGAGTGTTGTAAATAATTGTATTGTAATTATTTATTTTTATTTATTTACATGGTATCAGAGCCTTATGTCCCGGGTTTGATCCTCGCAACCCACTTTCTCATGTGGAATTTCTTAGTACAAGTAGGTGGGCCTGTCCATCCTTCAACCCAGTGAGCTCTCGTGTGAGGGGGCATGTTAGAGATATATAAAAAACCATTGATGTAGCCTCACCACCAGCTTAAACTTTTGGGTTGAATTGGTTCTTTATATCTTTGGAAACGGTAAAGATCATAGGTATTAATCAAGTAAAACCAGAACTCATTCTGACACCTTTTGGGGTCTTTAATGAGCACTTACTGACACTGTAACTTCCAGACAGCCAAGTAGACACTATATTAGAGAATATAAGATTACCTGATGTTGGAACTCAAGTTGGCTCTGACAACCATAAGAGGGTAACATTTTTATGGCGACATGCATGTTGCGAAGCAATCCCTTGTAAACACTTCCATACCTTCCCTCGCCAACCTTCCAAGATGGGTCAAAATCGTGAGTTGCCTCATTGATCTCCATGAAGGAAAATGCTGGAAATTCTACAGCATAAGAGAATGTAGCATCTCCAAATTCCCTCATCACTTTGACTTTCCTAACGGCATTTGCATGCTCTATCCTTAGCTTATCTCGTTTTTCCCTGAAACTTATCAAGAGGTCCACAGCTGATATGATCTTCTCCTCCAACTCTGTCACCGTACACTGGGACTCAAAAAATTGGCTCTTAAGGGCTGAAATTTGGTCTTGGACCATTTGCAATTCATACGTTATTTCATCTCGTTGATTCTTCATTTTCTGTACTTCTAGCTTTTCCCTTGCCAACTGTTCTTCAACTTCTTTTCTTCTACTTATCTCCTTAGCACACCAGCTTTGAAATGTTTTGTCCTGTCAAAATGCAAGTTGAAGCAAAGTTTCAGGAGAAAAATGGAATCGATCTAGTTCATCCATAATCAGGCAGCAATTCATAGAGCACATATATTATACATATCTATCCAAGCAATAAGCATGCCCATCTATATGGACAAATACAGGCATTTGCCACATTAAGCTGATGATCATTTACATATGATAATTAGGCTTATGTTTAAACCCATTGAGTCATACACATAATGTAATGGTGATAAGGATACTAGTGATGAAGACATTGTGGTTGATGGTCTGACTTAAATTAGGAGAAAATTCGTTGTCCAACAGATCTTTCTGTATCAAAATCCAAGTATAAATCAAAGATTAAAATAGAAAATGAAGTGGAGACAGTACTACAGGCAATCGACAAATCCTTCATGCTCAGAACTACTGTAAATAAGGCAGCACATTGCCGAAGTAAAAAGTCAGAACTACAAGCCCTGGCCTTTTTCAAAATGGCAGAACATGATCTTTGAGCCAGGTAAACCAGGAAGCAGTCTGACGGACCATGCTCTCTTTTCCCCCCTTATTTTCAAATACTACGCTCTGAATCTGAATAGCTAGCTACCAAGGATCATAATTTAAGAAACCGACCCTGGGAAATTATTAGGTTCAAAAGACTAGTTTTCATATTTTATCAATTTAAGAAAATACAGAATTTGTTTTGCTTTCAACCTCCAAAGTACTGTTCTCTACTTTCTATCGCTTTAATGCCTCTCCAAATCCTTTTCATTTCATGCTCTTGACATCTATGATGTTTTTTCCAGTCTACCATTTATTTCGCTTGCTTGTTCCCTTCATCTTTTTCCTCATGCAAAGTCATGAAAAATTCTAAATTTACCAGTTGGTTTAAAATGAAAAGATGCTATGGATTGAAATGAATTTTTTTCTAGACTAAGAGTAATATCCAAAATCCTTTCAATATACTCTCTGGTCTTATTCACAAGAAGTCATGCCTTTATGTTATTTCGAAAATCATGAATTTAATGGATGGGTTCACTTAACCTTTAGTGCAGGCAGTTGGACAAAAAGACTCCTACCATAAAATAGTAGCAGCACCCCAGAAAATGTAAAAGCATGCATGAAAATAGCAGAAACTTGTGCACCAAGGTTGAAGGGGAACAATCACCTCTCACCTCATGAAAAAGCAAATCTGTCAACTTCGTCCTGTCAACAACACTATTCAAGGACCATTTTGAATTTAACGAACAGTGGGAATTGACATTTTCAATCTCTTCCATATCATCAGAATCTGCACAAACCTGTCACAAGTTATTCCCCAAACAATACTTGTGGAAAATGACAAATGACATCAGCTGAAAAAAATCTATGCCATTTTAAAATTAAAAACAAATAAACAAACAAAGAGAGAATAAAAAAAAACTTCTAGCAAGAATACCTAAATATTTCAATGCATCATGAATCGATTCTGATTTAAACTTTTCTGATTGTTTGGCTTCCGTATTTGAATTGAGCACCAACAATGGAGGGGCAGTCTCTATTTCAGATGTATGTTTACTATCTACCCTGTTTTATTGTTCACATTTCACAAAAGTGCAAGAGATAGCACATGTTATTAGCTGAATAATTACCAACATTACAGAATATGATAAACAAAGCCAAATAGAAAGAACAAAATTTGTTACAAGGGCATCTCATTGGAAACATAATAACCAGTCAGAGTTTTGGTCCATTTTGTTCTTTTCCAGCATTAATTCAATCTGTCATTTAACTCATCCCCGCTCTGAATATGAAATACAAATTATTTATGGCAATCATTAACAAAACAAAATTAGTCATTTCTCCTTTAGCTATTTTTTCTTCCTAAGCATTACCGGTCACTGTCAAATCTTCTGAAACAGCGGTAGTTGATTCATACCATGCTCTTCAACACTCTTCTAGAGCATATATTTGTTGATGCTTTGGTAAAATAAAATCATTCTCATGGAATGAATTTTTCACAAAATACACACAACTTGGGTTAAAAGCTCCCATTTCGTAGATCATCTTAACAAAACTTATATTAATCTGAAACTGATTTATACTCCATTGATATAAGTGATCATTAAAGTTTAATATACTTTTCAAATGTAAGAAAATATCAACTAAATGATTAATTAGTTGCTGATATCAAATCTAAAATTTGACCTGCAGATGGGTATCAGTAGTTCCTAACACCATCCCCACCCCACATTGACGTACATATAGGGGTTATATCTTGTGAAAAATGAAGAATGAATCATGACCATTGAATCTTATATGAATGGCCAAGATTATAAGATTTTATCACGTGGCTTTTTCAAATAATAATACACCTGAGCTTTAAGTGATCTTACAAACTTGACCGTTCGTGGAATATTCAATGGTAATGATTCACTCCTCACATTTTTCAAATAAGTCTAGCTTAAGTAGATAGGAACCCACACAGCTGGCAATATCTTATATACTTCCTGCAAATCCCACTCTGCCCATTGTTGGTGGGATCTAAGGGAGTTCAGAACCAAATCAATCCAATCAAAACCGAATAAATTGAATAATAATAAAAAAACAAATAAACTGAATAAATAAATAAATAAAAATAGAGCAGTGGAGAGCAGTTGACTTTTCCCCTCAAAACCAATCGAATCCAATCCGTGAACACCCCTATTGAGATCTGAACCTAAGATATCGAAAACAGAGTGACAGTGTTGAATCAATTACCCTGCGAGTAATATGACCAAACCATCCTGGAAAATCCTCCCTCATATTTTCCTCCATCAACCTATTGCCCTACTCCATTTCCTTTAATGTATTTAGCTATTCTTGCCTAGTATTTCTTATTTTTTAATCGTAAAGTGATTCATACATAAACTTTCAGTCAAATCAGATTGAATAAATATACTGTTTCTTAATAGCTCATCCATCCATATCATAAACTGCTATAAAGATATTGACAAAGACACTCATGCGGTCTACTTAATCTACATTAAATATTGCAATCATGTACTAACACTGTGAATGTCATTTTCATTTACATTTTTACCTAGTACATATGAGGCTGCCCTTGCAAATGAACCAAATATTACAGGATAGCAATGCTTTTTCACATACAAGAATAGCTTTCTCCGATTCTTGCTCAGCCAGTTTACTGCAATTTCAACCACTGCAATTCAGCAATTTATATAAAAGATGCAGATTGACACAACTCTAAGTCAGACTCAAAATAAAACTCGTGACGTAATTTTTCATTCAACAGGGCAGAAATAAGCAATTTTGTTTGGACATTCTACTCTATGCTTAATTTTTTTACATAGTAATTATAAAGTTGGTTGAACAAAATGTTAGTTCAGTACCCTTGTCAAAATCCTCAGGCCAAGTGGTAATTTCTAGTGATAAATTTTTTCAATACCAGTAACCCTACATGAACATCAATGTTAATATGGGAACAAAATTAAGATAGAGCCTTCCTCAATAATGGAAACATGAAAAAAATCAAGAATGCAGCATAGCTTCCCAATATCTACGCATATTTGAAGTGGAAACTCCCTATAAACAACTATATACAGAACACAAAGGAGAGGCCATAAACACAATCGTATCCCAATTCCCAAAGCAAATTGAGAAGAGAGACACTGCCATGAAGATGGAGATCGTCTAGACCAATTATATTTTCATTTCATTAAGAGCCCCAGTTTTACAGCATAAGTTTCTAGTAGTTTCAAGAGGAAAAGAAAGAAGGAAGGAAATCAATCGGAGCATTGAAGTAAATAGCAACCGAGGTTTGGAATTGATACCCCAAGTTATATCTGTCTGCTGCTGCTCCCATTACAAGCCATCTAATATTGTGTTTAGCAATTGCTTCTACGATCCCCTTTTCAATATCATCCCTCTCAATCAACAACTTATAGGCCTGTACCTGCAGAAATATGTTATAATGTAAACAAAGTCTAGACTTCTTCAAGAAATAGGTACTAAACAGGACAATCATCTTCTCAACTATTACATTTCACTGTTTAAATTAACAAAAATTCAAAGATCACAAAATGATTCAGAGAAAGCAGTCAATACTTTATTATGCTAACTAGTTTCCCTTAGAGAAAGAGAAAAGTTCAATTCACCCCCTCCAACTTAGGCTCATGTGCACTTTGGTTCTCAAACTTTAAAAAGCATGCAACACGATCCCTAAACTTCCTAAAGCATGCATTTTAGTTCTTTCTAATCTTACATCAAACAATAAACATATTTTTTTTGTTTTAAGACCAAAGTGCACTCAAACCTAAGTTGGAGAAGATACATTGAACTTTTTCCATCAAGAAATTTGGTACAAAAAACGGTCATGTGATTTGAGTATGACAATTTTTGTTGATGTTTCAATATTAGACGAAAGGACTATAGAACACACTTTAAAAAGGTTAAGGATCGCATTGCACATTTTTAAAGCTTGAGGACCAAAATGTACTTGGCCTTAAGTTGGAGGGAGTAAATTAGATTTCCCCAGAAATAGATAAATTTAGATTAAGTATTCAGAGCCGGTGGATAATAGTACACCTTAGCAGATAATTTGTCAACAGGAATTAAAGAATAAGAAAAGGACAATACTCCTGCTGGGACCAGAGTGAGAATGTATTGGTCTAGGAGTTCATGCACTGTTTGACTTCCATGCTCCTGGAATGCCTTGATTGCATTGTCTTTGGGTTCATAACCAGAGAGGTATCCGTCTGCTGCATATGTGGGAAAATAAATAAAAACAAGAAGAAGAAAAAAAATTAGGTAGTTTGTTAAATATTATCAAACTATCAGATGAGACCTACCCAATCCAGAATGAAGATAGGCATAACAAGCTCAGCACTAACTAGAGCAGCTATATCAGAACCAGAAATAAACGCCAGAGCCAAAATAGGGACAGTTTTTTTCTCTCTTCCCTCTTTAATTTTGAGACAGAGAACTATGCTCCATCAATAATTCACATTCGTGTTGTTGGATGTCACATCAATATTAACTGATTTGATGAAAAACAAGTATCAAGGATAAGACAAGCATTTAATTTCTTTTTCAATGTCTCCTCAATCCTTAAGCAATAACTGCAGAAAGCCCATTATTTTTCACAAGCACGTCTTTTGCTGACATTTTTATCACACTTATCACCGGTCAAAGTTCACTCCAAGTAGTGAATTACCCAATGGTGGAGCGAGGGAAGGGCGAGGGAGGGCAGTCGTCCCCTTCAAGTTTATATAAGTCTTTAGTTATGACCTTAATTTGAGTTGTTTTTGGTCATATATAGAGTGTTCAACCCCTTCAAATTCTTAAAAGTTTTCGGTTGTGAAGATCATTTCTTTTACTTTGATTACATAGATAGTAATAACTTACAAGGTAGCGATTTCGCCCCCCTTTACAAAATTTTCATCAAAGACTTGCCATATATGAAAAACGGCATAATCCAATATTAGTATCCTCAGCTTCACCCTCTTAACAGTTCAATTCAATATCATCAATCTTCCTTTCTTCTTCAACGAGGTCTAGCCATTCATTTATTTTTTAAAGTAATAAAAAAAAAGGAAACAAATAGACACATACGATCCAACCCAAAAACTAAATCCCAAATTAGCAACCATTCAACCCAACAAGCAAAAATGAATAAATAGATAATCAAACCACCAATAAATTTTCCACTAAAAAAGTATACTTTTATCAACCGTTTGATGATCAGAAAAACACCCGCAAAAAAAAAAAGACAATAGATACTCACTCAACGAATTCACAGGCTCAGGTTGGTGAACGTGAAGAACACAAATTTTCTTCCCTGAGAAATTCTGAGCTGCCCAATGCAACAGTTGTTGACTCTTCTCCGCGTTCTTACCCACCGCAACATACACTGTGTCCTCCTCTCGCTCTTCTGCAACTTCAACCCCTTCTCTGATGCTACCCATCAGATCCAAAACAACCAAACGGCGGAAAATTTGAGAGTTGGGGAAGAAGCGGGTAGAGGAATCGTTCCGAGTTAGAGAGACTCAGCGGGTCAGGTACCGAGTCATGTAGTGGAGGAACACTTTAGAAGACAAAACATTATTTGTGAGGATTCTGAGGACTAAAGAGTGATGAGTTCGGTATTTGAAGTGAAGAAGAAGCAATTGATTTTGATGGAAACTGCGTTTAGAAAAAAATAAAGTGCTTTTCTTCAATGAGTGGGTCCCGATCGATAATGTGTGGGTGAACCGCAAAGGACTTTATATTTGCAGATTGGCTTTAATTAAGGCTTAATCACTAAGAATTACTATTTATTGTGGTATTATTATTTAGGAAAATTATTTTTTTTATGGCACATCGAAATTTGTGTTATTCTTTTTGTTTTTGTTTTTTTAGAGAAAAAGTGTGTCGTTAGAAGAGAGAAGAGAAAAGAGATAGATAAAGGAAGAAAGAGAGTTGATAAAAAAAAAAATATGTGGGTCTCACTTCTTTGTGAGAGTGAAAGAATATAAGTTGTGTCATTTAAAGGGATAAATATTTTTCCCTTTTTTTTTTAATAAGTCGTGGTCTCCATCACTTGGTGTGTCTATGGCTTAAGAGATACTATCTCATGTGATATGAGAAAAGAGAAACCCTATTATTTATTATGATAGTGTTATTATTTATGAAATATTGTTTCGTACATATGAGAATTACTTAGTAATTAATTATATATGTTTATAATAGGAAAAAAATATTTGTCATTTTAAATGATACAACTTATATTATTTCACTCTTACAAAAATGTGAGACTCATACCTTTATTTTTTTTTACCCACTCTCTTTTCTCCGTGATCTATGTCTTTCTTTCACTTAAAATAACATAACTTTACATTCTTTAAAATAACACACATTTTTCGCGTCTATAATAATAATAAAATCAATGTACGATTTAATAAAAATTCTAGATTAAAAAATAAATTAACATTTAATTTGAAGCAAAGTCTAATAAGAAAATTTGAATGAAATCTGATGAATCAATTTAAATAAATACTGATACTGATCAATTAGTAATATCTAGAAAAATAAACATATATCAAAATGAGGTATAATATATGAGATGACTCAATTATTTTTTTTCCACTTGATATATGATATTGTTTTTACTGATAGTACATGTCAAAATCTATAATGATACAAGAAAAACAAATATAACTTAAAAATTAAGTAAATAAAATATATTTAATCAATCATGATGCTAACAAAATAATAAATTTCCAAATTGATTAGAGAATCAATCCTGGATTGAACTCCAAACTAATTGAAACATAGTTTAATTTTACCTCTCAACAATATGCTACTTTTATTTGTATCTCATCTTATATTATTTTTAGAATAATAATATGATTAGCTAAGTAAATAGTGTATAAAGAAGAATAATGTCCCATCAAAAATATATTTTATCCTTCTTGGTAATGTTTTAATATCTTATTTTTAGGGGTGTTGTTTTTCTTCTATTATCGAAGAAAACATCATTTTTATGCGGACTCAATCTTCAAACGGGACCCACCACTTCAAAAATTTGTAAAATAAAAATAAACTCAACACAAACTTCGATAAGTCTACGGCAGAAGAGTTCAAATTTCCTGATACATAAGAATTGATTTTCCCTATTTTTAAATATATGATTTTATGTTATTTTAGAAGAATAGTATGAATTACTCAAGTAAGATAACATTGTTTGTGATTTAATTTGAGATATATACAATCATAATGTATTATTAAATATTAGTGATGATAAATAATTTTTTAATATGAAGAAGAATAATATATAAATTATGTAGAGTAATGTACTATTAATTAGATTTAGATTATTTCCTGTTAATTAATAACATAATAATATCATTTTATGGAGAGAAGGACACTAAAACAATTATAATAGGATCCACTGTTATTTGTATATAATTAATTATTATTTTTTGTATTTTTTCCTCTCATAACATAATATTATCGTGTTATTAGGTAGCATAAGAGGATCTAAATCCTCATTAATGAGTTCAAATGTAATATTGGCATAGCTACTTAATTTATAAATGATTATATGCTAAAATTAAATATAAACTTATAGAATCAACCGTAACGTAAGTAGCGTAAAAGGAAATTGTAATGAAACAAGACTATTGACGGTCAAGGTTCCATAAAAGAGATGTAGTCTCTTTCATCTTGAAAACAAACTAAAGAATAATTTAAGATGAGTACAAATAATAATATAAACGACAAAGAATGAAATCCTAAAAAAGAAAAAGAAAGTTCAACTCAATTAATTTATCTTAATTCATGGAAATGCCAACAGCTATACTTTGTTCTGTTTTGAGTTTTTTTTTTTAATTGTTTTTTCAATATTCAACAAGTATTTTGTAATTAAGATGCCAACATATTTTTACTCGCCTTACCACCAAGGATAAATCCCCACTTGTTCTAAAATTCCTAAACTGAATTTGGGACAAGATGGAAATGGTTAAGTTATGGCACAATTTTTTGTGTTATTAATTGTTTGATAGTCAATCATTAATTTTTTTTTGATATTTATAAATAAAATAACTCAATGTTTTATTATAATCTCTTTTTATGTTGTGTATTATTTACGCACAATAGAATCAATCTCCTTTTTGTATTTGGATTATTTATGTCATTTACATTAATTTACGTTATATTGTTTATTGCATCTCATACACCAAATTGTAAAATGACTTTTTATTTTAATCATACAAAACTATTGAATCGGATTAAGATTGCTATTTAAATTAACTAGTTTTAAAATTTATTAGTTCTTCTTATTCAATAAAATATGTATCTTCTTTTTTTCACTAAATGAAACGTTAAAGTTGAACTTTATATTTTTACCAAAAAAAAAGTGGAATTTTATATAGTATATTTTAGAGAAACTGGACTAGGAGGTAGGCTATTTGGCCCATTAGGAATCAATTTAGCTAATAAATTTTAATGTGGGTTTAGGAAAAACATAATTTCTTTTTTAGGTGTTGAGTGTGGCGACCATCTTTTGCGATAGTCTCTTTTTATTTTGCTACAAATATTAAAAAAAATTGTGTATCATTTTAAAGAACATAAAGTTGTGTCATTTTAAATGAGACAAAGAGATAAATCATGAGAGACAATGAGTGAATTTTTTTTTAAATATATGAATCTCATCTCTTTGTGAGAGCAAAAGAATAACACACATTTTTTCCAATATTAAATACCATCATACTTTATTTTTTGGGAAGTAAGAATGCATCACGTGGCATATTTTGGTTGGAGAATGAGTGCTGCGACCTTCTTCTTTTGTATTTTTGTGCTTAAGCGTGGCTAAAATTTTGAAATACACATAAGCCCCACTTGACAAATTTTGACGTGGCAATGGGTGTCACGGGGAAGGATCACAACTATGTAGCACCGATACGACACGTCACACATGACACGACACGACACGACACTCCGACACGTCAATCTTAAAAAATTATGGATTTCGACACGTTGGGACAAGTTTTAATATTAAATAATATTTTTAATTTATATGGTGTATATTTCATTTAATATTTAATAATTTAACAAAAAAATGAAACTAAATTAATAATACACATCAACACGTTATAAAGATGGAAGCTTTAATAAAAAAAATAAGAACTGGGATGAGAGAGATATAATATCAGATAGAGAGATCAAATCATATTAGAGAGAGATCAGAGAGAAGAAGATACAACAAGAGCGTGATAGGAATTGACAACAATGATGCTGAGATGATCTCTTATCTACTTAAGGGGAAAAAAGACAAAAAGATAAAATTGATATGATCAGATGGAAGCTTTATTAATATATTTTAACTTTTAAAAAAAAAAAATTAAAAAAAATTTTAAAAAAAAAATTACGAAAATGCCATTTGACCGTGTCGGACACGGTCAAATTCGCGTGTCGGAATGGTCAACGTGTCGAAAAAAGTCAACCGCGTGTCCGACACCGTGTCAGAGCGTGTCGGAGCGTGTCGCCGTGTCAGAGCGTGTCGGACCTGACTCTTCCTGTTTTTACAAGTGTCCGTGCTTCCTTGGATCACAATATTGACCACCCCAAATGAAATTATATAGTACATTATCCAAACTTGTATTTATTAATTAAAATGAAACCAATTGAGTCAAAGGGTAAGTTGGGGGATCAAATACCTTCATACTTCCGATTTATCCATGTTAGGTGAACAACGTTAGAAAAAAAAAAAAGTGGTGTAAGTAATTTTATTTATCGATCAACGTTATTTGTGCAAGGGAGAGCTGTAAGAAAAAAAAAAGGTTTAAATAACATGATTCTTATTTATTTGTGAAGTTCTACAAAGGACCCTATTTTTGTTTTAAAGTTCCTTTTTAAAATCTCACTACTTTTAACATTTCTTTGGCATGGAGAAGTCTTGAGGGAGGGAAGTTCAACTATCTAGGTACACATTTTTGGCATGTGCTCTTTTCCTTGCAGCTTGATGTTGCTAAGAATTTTATTTTAATTTTCCAAAACAAAAATTAACTTCAACATGATATAGTCTGCATGGTTGAATACTAACTCCACTAGATATATCAAAGACCAAGCTTCTTTTGCATTGGCTATTAGTTCCAACCAACTAGAGACTGTAGAGTAGTATTCCTTCCTAAACTTGAAAGCTCCTCCTCTTACCAACCTTCCCCTCTGTTGACTGGTAGTTTTGAAACTCTCTTCTTTTACCAGCTCCTCTAGCTTTGTTTTGTTTATCTCTTCATGAAGATCTCCAAGCACCAACTGTTATATGCAACATGGAACAACCCTCTCAACCATCACCTCAGGCCAAACTCTACAACCCGCATCCACCATCTCCCGCTGAAGTTTCTGACCATGCTCTTCATTCGGATAAAGTTCCTTACTTTGAAACGGTTTTGAAAGGAAAAGAAGAGGGATTGGTGGGAAAAGAAGTGGAAGAATTCAAAGAAAGAGTTGAGAGAGAAGAGAGAAATTGGTTGATGTTAAAGGCTTTGGAGTTTCTTACGTCAATGAAGGATCGCTTATGTAGAGTAATAGAGGGGCTAGAGGGAGAAAAGGATGAGAGTTTTGTGAAAGAATGCGAGGGGGAGAGGGTTTGTGTGGAATCAAAATTAGATGAGGAATCAAGGGTGTTATTGGAAGAGGCAAGGTTGATCTCAAGGCTAGCAATTGAGGTGGAAACAAGGGTGGATAATTATAAGGAGTTGAGGAGGAAGGAAAAGAGAGAGTTGGAGAATAGTTTGATAAGTTTAACCGAGGAGAATAGGGATATTAATAACTTGCTTAGGATTGCTTTGCTGGAGAAAGAATCATTGGAGAAGAGAATGAAGGGACATGACCATAAAAGGACGCCCCTTTTACAGTTTGCTGAGTTTGGATTGCAGAAAGTTGGGTTTGGGTTCATGATGGGGGGTGGCAATATTGAGCAACCTACAGAGATTTCTGGGGCTAACACAGTGACTAAATCAGATAGTAGTGAGTCTGAAGAGGAAGTTGTTAGTCTGGTAAGCTCTTATTATCTTTAATTCCATATTATTGGAGCAAACTACTCTTACTTTCATCCAAAAAAGTGTTGTCTTGTAATATAGTTGTCATAATATTTCTTAAGACACAGTTAGACTAATTTCATAGCATAAGCATTGTTAGAAATAGTGTTCCTAGACAGAGCATGAATGCCATTTGAAAACTTCTAGACACACTATTTGAAATTATTAGAAGGACCAAGAAAGGGTGACACTTCTGATAGATAATAGTTGTAGCCTACTTCTTGCAAAAGGTTAGCCTGCTCTGAAATTTATGGTCATTTTCCAAGGCCTCAACGGTGGAAAGGATAATGAAGAATCTACGTCTTGAAATCACTCAATTGAGGAGATCTTTGGATGAATCTAGGTATGTTACCATCTAATTATATTGAATTCATTCATTCTTGTCCATCATAGTGATATTGTTTTCTGATAATACTGCATGATTTGCTAGAAAGAAAGTGAAAAAGAGAGAGGCTTTTACACGGTTATATGCAAAACCCTTTCACAGATTTCTTCACTCTTCCCTTATATAAACCCAAAGTAAAGAGGGACATAATCACCTTCAAATTCATTAGGTTATTTGAGCTTATTTTGGTTTTACAGAATTATCTTGCAGCTACAGTTCATAAGTATATATTGAGTTCATGTTGCTTGGTTTTGGATTATTTATTATGAACTTCATGCCAGGTCAGATACAGAGCGCCTCCAGTGCCTCACAGATAAACAAGCCAAAGAAATTGTAGAAAACAAACTCTACATTAAGGAGTTAGAAGATAGAGAGAGAATGTTGACTCAAAATGTAAGTAATCACCTATTTTATCAATAAATGGGATAATCATATTCCCTAATAAAAGCTCTCTTTCTCACTAGCTTTGTCCTTTGTGTATGACTGCTGAAAAGGTAGAGGAGTTTTTTATGGAAATTAAAGAAGCAGAAGAAGAAGTTGCTAGATGGAAGGAAGCTTGTGAGTTGGAAGTTGTAGCTGGAAAGAATGAGATTCAAGAGCGTGACAAAGTGGTAATGACCTTTTCCATCGCTGCTATATGAATCACTAGCTTTTAAAAACAAAAAAAATTCTATCCCATGCATGCTATATATATAGATAATAGATTGCTCTTTCGTCAGAGTCTCTTTACAAATACGTAAAGATAAAATTAGATACATGTCGGGGTTTAATAAAGAGTGATTTTATAGTGTATATAATGAACAATCTTTCTTTCTCTAGTTGTCATTTTTGGATGCCAACTTAGTTTTGTAATTACTCTATAACTTTGTCTATTGATAAATATAAATGCATGAATGTTGCATAAGGTGGCTGCTTTGAAACAAGAACTGCAGAAAACAAAGGCAGCTTTGGACATATCAAATGGAAAATTAAGGCTTAAAGAGGAACTTGCAATGACAGCAATAGCTGCACAGGAAGCAGCAGAGAGGTCTTTGAAGCTGGCTGATGGTAGATCAGTTGAACTTCGTCAGAGGATTGAAGAACTAACCAGACAATTAGAAGAATCAGAGAAACGTGAACGCAATAGCCATAAAGTGAGACGCATATGTTGGCCATGGCAAGTTTTTAATTTGAGTTCTGCTAATATTACAAACACTAGAGTTGGAAATGCTAAAAGGATGCTACCAGAAATGCAAGCCTTAATTTAATTCAATGAATTGTATATAAATAATTTTCTTGAACAATGAGTTTATTTATCTTAAACACGACACCTATAGTTCTTGTAAAAGTGGAATATTTTGTTGTTGAAGTTATTTGGACTTCATAGGCACCAACACTAAAATTAACTATTATCATTAAAGTTTACTATTTATTGAATCAATTAACCACTTGTGAATTAAATAAATTATATGTTTACAAATTATGCGAGGCATGTGTATAATTTAAAATATATTAAAAAAATGTTATTAGTGACTTGCATGAGAATATATATATATATATAAAATATGTGATCATAAATTTGTGTAAGTATCATTACTCATATTATCAATTAGAAATATATTTCTGTTTTTTTTACGAAAAAAAAAATTTCTATCACGCTCACATAAAAGTGAGTGAGTCCCTTTATAATATAAAGAGAGAAAAGTTAATAGGATATAATGAGATTCATTCACTTTTTTATAAGTGTGGCAGAAAAAAAATTGCAGTAAAGTAGAAATATTAAATCCATTATCAATTTATTTGAAAAAATATATATTATCAATTTGAAACCCTCATATATAAAATAAAAGCATGAGTCGAATAAACTTGTAATAATTGGTCAATGTACTGAGTAACATTATAATATATGGATGTTGATAAGATCTATATTTATCCAAAATTAATATAATATTTAATAAAGTTTAAAATTTCAACTCTATTACTTACCCCCCCCCCCCCCCCCCCCCCCCCCCCCAACCCCAAATAAATAAATAAATAAAATCAACTCTATTAAAAGTTTTATGTTATCTTTTTAGTAATGTCAAAGTTTGATACTAAGTTTACAATTTTGGAAATTTCTTTATGTTTTAAACGTAAAAAACTAATAATTAATTATTAAATAAATAAATATACGTTTAAGTAATATTTTAGTCCTTCTGATTTTTATTTTTTAAGCTTTGATATTTTAATTTTTTTATTTGAATATTGGTTCGTATAATTTATTTTTTATTATTTATAAAATCTAATATTTTAATAAAATAAAAATCTTTAAGACTAATTATATATAAAACATAAAGACCAAAACTATTATAACTAAAAATATAGAAATTAAATTTGAATGAATAAAAAATATAACAATAAATATATCAAATAAAGACAAAAATATAAATAAATAAAAATGTATTTAAAAAACATGAAAGCAAACATTATAAAAATTAAAATAAAATAAAATCTATTTAAACTATAAATAAATGGAATAAGTTATACTTACCACCATTTTTTCTTATCATTTCTCAACATTAAATTTTAACTATTGATTTTTGTCAATTTAATGATTATAATTAATTAGAAATTAATAATTAATTAATAAATATAATCTAACAAATTATAACCATTAAATTAATAAAAATCAACTATTAATATTTAATAAAAAATAATAAATATAACCTCGCGCTAAATATATTGCCATCACGATTGCTTCATGATTAATTAATTAATAATAACCCAAGGTAGTTCAGTTGGCAGCTGAGCTCCCAAGGGATTGCTTGGTGCAGGGATCAAACCCTGCCTCAAGCAGTTTCTTGGAAAATCTTTAGGGGCCAGAGGATAAGCCAAAAAAATTTCAGTTGGGCGATTAGTCTCGTCCTTTCTCTGGTTGTGAAGCTTAGTGTACCCATTGTTACAATGAGGGGCTAGCCAAAACGGGCCGTACCCCGAGGGCATGGTGCCCGGAGAAGGTTGAATGGGGATACCTCCTGGCAATGTACCAAAAAAAAAAAATTAATTAATAATAATAATAAGGTAAAATTGTTTCTCATTTTAAATGACATAAAATTATGTCATTTTAAGAGAGATAGACACAATAAAATATTTTTTATTTAAAATTTAAATTAAAAAAATCACCACTTTCTCTCCCATGATTTCCGTTCTTTGTGTCTTTCTCTCTCTTAAAATGATATAACTTATGTCATTTAAAATGACAAACACTAAATTCTAATAATAATAATAATAATAATAATGATAGGAGGAAGGTTATACTTACAACTTTTTTTTACAACTCCTTACAACAATATCTTAACACCGATGATTTCCTCCAATTAACGGTTATTATTTTTGTAAATTAAATTTATTAATTAATTATTAATTCATAATAAATAATAATCGTTGATTAAAATCAACGTGTTAAGATATAGTTGTGTTAAGATATAGTTGTAGGTGGTTATAATTTTTTTTTTTGTAAATATAACATTTTTACGATAATAATACGGAAAAACATATAGTCGTCTTCTTCTCTGAACGGTGTTAGGGTTTGCAGAGTTGCACTTTGTTTTCATCCCCAAATATTACGTGTTTCTGACACAAATACAATAGACTATTACAATTGACCTCATAGCTTCGGTTCTGCAATTCACGAAATCCAAATACATCGGCAGTACCGTGTTGCGTCTCGTTACGGTATGACATTTTACTTGCACCTTGTTATCAATTGCAATCAAGTAGCCGAATGTTTGAACCTTTTTCATTTTTTTACTTTGAAAAGATGATAACTTCACTGCACACCACTCTTCTGCACCATTGGTATTGCTGCTTCCTATATTTTCCTAAAGGACAACCTTCAATTTCTGCTTTGTCATTTTTCAAGCAATTCAACTGATAATTTCGGATTTGGATTACTCAGTGTTTATTCTGTTATTCATATTTGGATTCCAAGATTCAATGAAATTTTTTTTCTTGAAAATTAATATTTTGCTGTAATGTTTTTATTTTGATTGACTTTGTTGCTATTTGATGTAAAATGCAGAACCTTTTTATTCATAATTGGAACTTATGGACCAGAAAGCAGAGAATAGTAGCGGTGTGAAGAAAAGAATTTCAGCATGTGATGTTGAGGCTTTAAAAAAGTGCTTGGAAGAGAACAAGGGGGACTATGTCAAATGCCAGTCTCAGATTGAAGCTTTTAAATCATCATGCTCATTGAAGAAACCAAACACCGTCTCTTGATTCTGCACCACCCCCTCAAGACAGGTGTTTGACATTAAATTAGATGGCTCTTATTCTGACTTGTGATTTCTGGGTTTTCCATTTTTTTATTAAAGTTAATTAAGTCTCTGTAAAGATATACTCAAGTTGTATTAATATTTAATAATTTGTGAGAAAATAATATGTTCTCGTGTTGTAGCTTTGCACAATTATAAATTTCATGAGTTTCATTGATAGGGCAGGAATTGTTTAGGATGATGGGAATGAACACTACGCTGAAGGATTCTGATGCTGTTGCCACACTTTTGTGTCATTAAAGTTTCCAACTGGTTTAATGAATTCAGTTTTGTTACCATGCTTCACCACTCCTCCCTCTGGTTGTTTATCTCTGTTTCATAATGATGTAATGGGTGTTAGTCACCCAAGGTTATGTGTTGATAGCTTTTAGTTCTGTTTGTTGTTTGTTCCCATGCAAATGAATAATTATAATGTTTTCAATGGTTACAGGATGTGTTCGGTTTTGATCTGATAGTTTATTGACCTGGTTGAACATGATTTTTGTGCCTCTTTTGTTTTCATCATAGATTTTCAAGGACGGCTCCTTGCTATGGTATCTTTAATGGGATGAAGTGGATGTTAGCTTTGGGGTGTTCAACTAAAGATTACTTCCAATGGATCTACTTTTCTCTTTCTTTTTCGCTTTCAAAAATTTATCTTTATTAAAAAAGAATAGACTTAGAACCAAAAAATGTATCTTTTTTTTTTTTTTTTTTTACTTGTAACGGATTGCCAAATTAGTTGAAATGTTAAAAAAAATGATGCCGAATGAGTTGAGTGTGAAATATTTTTTGGTTGCTGATTATGTTTGATAGGCTTCCAAAGAGAATTAAGAGATCTCTTACTCCCAAAATAACTAATATATTTATGTGTAAATTATTATTCCTTCTCTTATTAAGAGATGTTTAAATTAAAAAGCATTATTATTTGTTTTAAAAAAATTACAGTATTATATTTTAATTTACTATAGCCTCTTAAAAGTAACTTTCTCTCAATGATCAGCTGTTAGTTTTGAACTTTTTTTTTTTTTTGGTAAAGTGTTAGTTTTGAACTTCTATTATCGACTTTGATCTACAAATGAAATAAAAATTTTGTGCTAAGATTTATTTTATATTTGAAAAGCTTATTTCTCTTCTGGTATGATTTTTTTTTAAAAAAAAAATTGAAAAATTAAAAAATATTTTATGCTTTCATCCAATATTTATGTTTTTTGTTAAACAACTTTTTTATATGTTTTTTTAAAACTCTTTTACAGAAGCTCGAAAACATCTTTACAAAAAAACATGATTTTTCCCTAGTATTTTATCATTGAAAGAAAATTCATGCAAACATCCTGAAAAATGTTAAAAAGAACCTATTTAAAAGAAAGTAATTTGTTTACCAAAAAAAGAAGAAGAGAGAAATAAAGTAATTCAAAATAACACATACAAACAAGCCAACTTATCTTAAAAAATGCATAATTTGTGATTTTTCTGATACTTTATCTTTTTTTAAAAAATAAATAAAATAAACCAAATATACTAAAAATTGCCAAAAGTACTTTTTTTAAACAAAATATTTTTTCATGTATAATAACACATACAAAACAAGCTCTGTCAACAAATTATCTATTATGATAAAAGTACAGATTGCATGAGCAATTACTTGCACTAAAAAGAATATTTTCTCTTTTCTTTATTTAGACGAATGATACCTTGATTTTAGCACATCTTTTTTTGAGTTAAAAATTACTTTTAAATTAAAGTTGAAAAAAAAACTTAAAAATTAAAGGCAAAAACTATTTTGTGATTATATAAAGTTGTTATAGTGGTATTGAAGGAAGAAAAATAAAATAATTTATTATTAATATAAATTATTTGAGTAAATAATAAAATTTATAAATACAAATTTAAAATAAAAATAAAACTGTAAACTAAATAAGGATTTAAAAAAACTGACATACATTTTAAAACAAACTCCTCTCAAAAGTTTTTAGCTTTTTTTTCTTCGTTATATATAAAAAAAAAAAAACTACCTAATTCCTGTTTATAAGAAGGAAATAAGCTAAAAAAAAACCTCCAATACATTTCTTGATGGATACATTGATAGAGAATAATCCTTACATATATGAAGCTTAAGAAGAGAACCTGACTGCCAATAATTTCTAACAAACTTATTCCATCTTCGAGCTACAACTAAACAACAAAAAATCACAGAAGGATGAACTAATATGGTTTTTACATGACTATAATTTATATTCTTGTCCACTTAAATTACACAATCATTGTTTCTCGAGGCACAATATGGCCGTGCTCATCCTTATCAAAAAGACGCTCAATTAATTCATCCCATGTTTCAACCATTGTGCTCCTATTGGTTGAACCAAAAGAAGACTCAGCCTGTAACCTTCTTGTACTCTCCTCTCCCTCCTCATCAAAAGTTCCATACTGTGATGGTGTAAAAGCATGCGGAACATCTAATTTTATAGCCCTTTGTAATGCTGCTTTGTATTCTAGACTGTGTCTTGTTTCCTGCCTCTCCATGATTTGCTTTGCAGGTACTTCCATGCTAGTATCTTTCTCCCGCATCAACTGCAGTTAGCACAAACAAAATGGCAAAGCTTGACAATAGCATCCAGTAGCCCTAGTTAATTACATTTAACACAAAACCTCACTTCCCCCACCAACAAACAAAGTAAGAAAATTACAAGGCTGAATATAGACTTACATCCATAGCCCTTTGAGCTTCTTTCTCTATCCAAATAATGGCATGATCAGATATAGCATTACAAGAAAGGATTATATGCTCAAACCTTCCATCTACTGGCACTGCTGTCCTCACAACTGGGGGAAACCTTCCCATTCTGCATACAAAAGGTGCTAACGTTAAGCGAAAAGAAAAATGCTGTGTAAACATCTTTTTTAAACGGACCGTATTAGCATAGTCCAGACAATCAAAACGGATACAGTTGCACTTAAGCTGCAGATGATTTCCTAAAGTACAGTTACTACAATTCCACATAAGCTGCAGATGATTTCTGGGAGTACTTAACCATACCTGAAAGGCTTTCTCTCAACAATGTGATAGAGGCGACCGGGTGGATACAGTCTCCTTGGATCTTTCAGCATATTCTCCTCTGCTATACATGTACCCCACATGAACCTCGAGCACAATAAGCATCGCAATCTGCCAACCAAAGAAAACAATATCTTACCATGAAAACATTTAAGTTACACTGACATTCATTTCCACTAATTATTGACATCAACTAATCACAGCCTGAGTGTCAGTTGTTCATTCATATTTCTCAATACTCCCCTAGTGCTCATAAGCTGAGCCTTACAAAAAACTCAGCTTGTTACAAATAACTTGCACTTAACAGAAGAAACATAAAATATATAGTCGATCCGCCTATGCGTCTTGCTTTTACTGTTATATCGGGAGTTACTCCAGGTATTGCTTGACGTAAATCCTACAAATCGGGCACTTGGCATGCTCCACAAACCACAACGTGCAAAATCAAAGAAAGTGAGCATAGATAGAGGGACCACAAAGCAGGTAGACATCTTGAATGATGCACAGCCAAAAGGAATAGAAAGGTGCATATGAGGAAAGGGAAGGTACAACCAGAAGAAAGCACGGTAGAAAAGCCTGAAATTAATCAAAGAGCATCTCAAATTCATCCAAACACTACTTGGAACCCTCAAACATAAAAAATAACCTCAAAATGCCGAATAATGACTCGGTTGTGAAAATGGTTCGATTTGGCTTGGTGAAGAATTCAGTCAACCAAGTTAACAGCACAGACTTCAGCATACTAGAACATACTCTAGCCTTGCATAACAAGCAGGATAATCAGGGAGCTACAGTTGTACAGGGCCTTACAACATACCTGAATAGAGAATTGAATATATCTTTCAATGGAATGACTGTCCTTGGTAAGAAGTCATCCTGATCAAGGAAAAGAATAGTTAACTTCAAAGTACAAGACTCAGTGTGAATCAAGTATAAGGAAGTTAGTGATGCCGCTAAAGCTCAACAGCTACTAGGCTAAAATTTTATATTATCTTAAGCATATGCATATAATAAGTGTGACTATTCACAAGAATAGATCATGTAACAATCACTATGTTCCACATAAAACAGACTTTAGGAAAATATTTGTCCTGTGTTGAACACATTAAGATTCATGCAAGTCCTCCATAAATTGTTTCTCTCCAGCACGGGAAGGAGTTCATTCATCTATATCACTGGGAGTTCATTCATAATTCATCATTTTTTATTCCTTTACCCTGCTGTGAGTATATGCAAGCCTGGAACAATTAAGGAATGAAATCCAAATATTCAAAATCTAGGTACACTTCGCAAATCATCTCCTCTTTATACGCAAGGTAAGAAACAAATATCGACAGAAGGCAATTTAAAGCTTAATACCTTCTATACCAACAAATGCTTTAATGTTACCTTCATCACATTCTACAGGATGTAAAAATATTCAAAAGGATGTCAAGGATTCTTCAACTAAACAAATGAGATTCTAATAACTTGCCTGAAGCACAACAGAGTTGATGACATCAGCATATCTGACTGCCAAATTCAGTGACATGCACCTAGCAGCTGCAATAGCATAGCACCTGACTCTCTTCCTCTCAATATTTCCAAGTCTTTCTCGATGCTGCACCACCAACATGCACAACATTGCAGCTACTCCTGATCCAAGGGAATGTCCAGCAAAAGTCAGAGAATAGTTTGGATACTTCTCTACCAATTCCCTCAAAACTTCACATCCAGCATCCAAAACCCATCCAGCAGCCTTCAACATCCCATTATGAACATACCCCCCATCAAACTTTCTCTTCCCTAATCTATTATCCAACAGAACAGCATAGTCACTCTCCTTTGCCAAATTTAGTCCCCTAAAGGCAAGGACTATATCAGCATGATCATGATCAATATACATTATATAGGGCGGTACCCGCCCCGTTGTTTCTTCGTATGTCATTTTGAGTATTAACCAATCAGGGTTAATTCCATACCGAGCATGGGGGGGTTCCAAAATAGGTTGTCGAAGATCATCTGCATACACAAATGAAATATAGCGACAAAGACGAGGCACAGGCTCAAATTCTTCTGCAATGGCAAGGTCCCAAGTTTCACTGTCATGGCCTGCAGTATAAATACATCTTTCCCAAGCCCGACGAGCACAAGCCAGACAGCGCACACACTCAACAAGAGGCACACAATACAAGATTGACATTGTGCTTACAACCTAGGCATACTAAGTACGCTGAAAACCAATATGGATTTTTCCTCAGAATGGCAAATTTTCTGAAAGTAATGACTTGCTTATACAGAACTAAATATGAACTTCAAATATGAAACTTTTAAGTGCAAACTAAAATGGTACAAGTGTACTTTATTTCTAGTACAATAATTGAGATTATAAAAAAATTTAGATTCAACAGTGATCCCTGATCGGAAACTGTAACTTCGAGTAGCAGATATACCACAAAGATAAAACTAAAATATATATATATATATATATTACGCAAGAAGTATGGGTTGAAACTTCAAGGAGGTAAGAAAATTCAAAATTGGCTAATAAGAAAAAGACACGACTAAGTGCAAGCAACAAAGTAAAAATGGAAAAAGGAGAGACACCCGGAACCGAATTTCAATGTTGATCAAAGAACCCAGAGAACCAAAGCACTAAAAGAAGAAACTTTGGTTCGAGGCAGAGAAAATCTGATAATGTCATTGGCTTTAATGGTCGGAAAACAACCTTGGAGGAGCTTCTGATGTGTGATGATAAAGAAAAGTTGGTTTACTAGGAATATTAGGAATAACGACTATTAGTCAAACTAACAGATTATTAAATTAAAGAAAGCCTATCAATAGAGCTTAATCACACGTGCAGATTCATCCCTTAAACCTCGGCAATCGGCATGATATGATAATATATACATGGTACCAAACACATGGTTGAAAATATAAAATTCCAATCTCATCCTCAAATTAACAAATATGGTTATGATAATCTATTATATACTTAAAAGGAGAATCAAAGAAATCCTCTTTGTGTTTACACTGTTTGTTCACACTTGCATTTTTCAAAAAAAATTGATGTGTCAAGATCTCATGCATTTTTAGCTTTGTGTTCACATTATGTGTTCACACTTGCATGTTAATTGATATTGTAAGCTTCTAGAAGATCATATTGTTATATTGTATGGTATGTGCTCAGAGATATTCTAGTGATAGGTATAACCAACACTCCAATCACTGCGCACAAGCAATACGCTTATAGCCAAGACATGAATGTGTGCACAGTGTTGGCAGCAATAGTAAATAGGTCAAAAGTGTGTACCTGGGTCAAAACACTATAGAGCCCTTACTCTAACCTCTTATTTACAAGGGTTACCTCTTAGGCTTGTGTAGATCTCCCAGTTGTAATAGGATTCAACTTCCTTTCTATTGGGATAAGGGCTCTATAGCTTTACTGTTTTATATTGTTAAGATAATTGAGTCATTATCCTTCAGTGGGGCTTGAGTAAGTAGTTAGGATATGATATATATCCATAACACATATAATAAAGAAATTCCGACAAAAAAAATATGTGGAATCAGAAAAAAATAATTTGTGAAACTTATTTGATGATAAAAATCAAAAAGTGTGTAGAAAAATTTCACTTACATAAAAATTATAAAACCCTTAATAAAAAGGGTTTGATTTTTCTCATGTTGCATGAGATCATTTGTCTGATGCAACACTCAAAAAACTTGGTGGGACCCACCTTTTTCCTTTCTCTCTTTTCTTCAAAGTGGATCCTACCCACTTTTTTATGTGTTACATGAGATAATTTGTCTCATATAACATAAGAAACACATTTCCTAATAAGAAATGAGGTCAAAATCGAAACTTCGACAGTCACTATCAAGACACCTTTGTTTTGGACATTTGCACTGCCTTCTTTATTTGCATAAAGAAAAATGGATTTTATGTTTGTAATGTTACATAACATAATTTCACTTTTCTACACACAATAAAAGGGAGAGAGAAAATGAAATGACGAAAGAAAAAGAAAAATATGTGGACCCTACCTCTTTTTGATGTGTGTGTAGGAAAGTGAAGTTATGTAACATAACAAACATAAAACCAAGAAAAATTTCAGACTAACATTGAGAGCGCGTGTTTTAACATCCAATAAAAAATAAAATAAAATGTATAATAGCATACTAGTAATTCTGGCAATATTTCATCTATAAGTGATTATACAATTTGATTGTGATGTTAGTACATGCATATTTCTTTAATTACAATTTTTTTTTTTTTAAAAAATGAAAAGTAGAAAGGAAACTTTTGCATAAGAAAAGCATTCGAAGAAACAAGTAGATACACAAAGATACCAACACGTTTAATTAATCAAGGAAACCACACAACATGACTTTCGCAGGCCACGCATTTCACCATCAACCCATATAAAATACTTTCAGAGGTGTTTGGCAGGTGGTTTCTGGTGGGATGGCTGGGTAAGTGAGAGTGGGATACCATGTAAATCATGTTTGGTAGACGATTAATAGAAATAAAACCAAGGAAGCGTTTTACCCATGCAAATAAGAGTTGTGTGTAAATGGATGTCAAAAACACTATTTGCAAAAACCACTTCGGAGGTGGTATTTGGGAAAGAATGGGGAAGTGAAAAATTTGGAGCGATGTTGTAGACTGAAATGCCCCTCATCTCATCTATCAAGCTCGATCTGTATTTTGCTCAACTACTCCACAAGATCGACTCTCGTTCTCTACAGATCTGTATTTGGTTTCTCTTTTGCTGTTTTGTCTGCGTTGTTTCTCACCAACCATGTCCATGATGACATCAAAGCCTGTCTTTTGACCTCTACACTTTATGGTTCTGCAACTCTTAAAAGTTTGGCCCGTATCTATGGTTCCCTGCAACTTATTGGCTACAAAGCTTATGAAGAGTTGTGTTGGCATCTTAGTTGCATCTATTACAAAGAACAGAACTCATTTTAGTCGAGGAACATCTAACCCCAAGATTGAATGACTCATATTTTAGTCGAGGACTCTAGGGTTATTTTTTTTTTTCAGATTCGAAATTTAAAATGCCCATTTTGGTAATTTACACCAATTATCCCATCAATATATTATTTTTAACCAAACATAGGCTTTGGAAACTTAAATCAATTTTCTTGGTAATATTTCAGTCTACCAAACAACTTTTTTTAACTTTCCTACCAAACTCACTTTACTACTATATTACTAGTAAAAGGATTTCCCTAGTAAAAAAAAAAATTCTCCTCTACCAAACGCTCTTTCAGGAATCGATGGTTGATGAATGGATATTACTTATTTCAATAATATTTTATTAAAAAATTATACTTATAATTTATTTTTATTTATAATCTCTTTTGTCCATTAATAATAATTATTTTTTCAAATCAAACTCATTAATTGATTATTAATTAATAATAAATAATAACTGTTAATTAACAAAAATTAATAATTAAATTGCGAGAGTTCATAAACGAAAATAACTTCATAACTTCTTTATATTTTATAGGGTAATATTACTCTCATGTAACATGAGAGTAGTTCTCTCATGTTACAGAGAGAATCCAAGTAGGGCCTGCTATTTAAAAGCAAAAAAGAAAAAGAAAAAAGAAGAGGCACGATTTTCAAAGTGAGAAAAAATGAGATAACTACCTCATGTAAAATAAGAGTAGTATTTCCCTATTTTATAACTCATTGTGTAGCACATGCAGTTAAACATAATAATTGAAATGGTTTGTCATCTTATGAATTCATCAATGTATATTTATATTTTGTATTACATTTCACAGTTGTTGTGCTTTTTCTTCCTTCCTCGAGAAAAATAGTTCCATGGTCCCTATCTCTCTCCTCCTTTTTCCTCTCTCTCTTGTCTCTCCTCTCTTCTCCCTTCTCTCTCTATGGGGGTGTATTAGTCTCGCTCCACTATATATATGCTCCTTCCTCGAGGCTCATGGGTAAATCTCATAACCATATAATATTACTACTATATTGTAAGGGTAAAGTGTGTGTCATTTTAAAGGATGTAAATTTGTATCATTTTAAGAGAGATAGATAAAGGAGGAGAGAGAGTTGACAAAAAAATAAAGGTGTGGGTCTCACCTCTTTGTGAGAGTGAAAGGATATAAGTTATGTCATTTAAAAGGATAAACATTTTTCCCATATTATAAATACCTAATAGGCTTTGTCTGCTCTTTCATTCATTTGGGATTTTACCTCTTTAATTTTTTCAATATGATATTTGATTCACGTAATTATCAATGAGGGTCATTTAGTGTCGCACGGGATCGAGCGACACTGAGGGTCATTCAGTGTCGCATGAGATCGAGCGACACTGAGTGTTGGGACCCTCCCACTGCATCACTCACACATTCTCTCTCTTTTTTTCAATTGAGTGGCGCTCTCACCCCTCTGGCACTCACACGATTGTGCCAAGTGAAATAATCTCGTCAATCCTGTTACCATAAAACTTCGGAAGACTATAACTTTTGTCTCGGGTATTTAAATCAGAATTTTTTTTATTTCACATAACTTTTCGAGATTTACGCAATGACACCTCATTTGACATATTTTATCTTTCATAAACATAGTTCAAATTTGCAAATTTTATGAAAGATAAAATATGTCAAATGAGGTGTCATTGCGTAAATCTTGAAAAGTTATGTGAAATAAAAAAAATTCTGATTTAAATATCCGAGTCAAAAGTTATAGTCTTCCGAAGTTTTATGATAACAGGACTGACGAGATTATTTCACTTGGCACAATCGTGTGAGTGCCAGAGGGGATGAGAGCATCACTCAATTGTAAAAATATATATATATATGTGATTGACGCTGGTCGCGACACTCAGTGTCGCTGAATCCCCCATACTACGTTGAATGACCCTGGTTGATAAATATCAAAATTTAAATAATAAATTAAAACCTTAAATAATCCCTTTGGGTCAAATAGCCAGGCTTTGTCCATACCTCCGTGTTGTTTATGCTTTGCCAAATTTATGATCCACAAACTTCAGCTCCAACCATTCATATGAACATCATCTCCAGCAAATCTGTTGAATTCCCATCTAACTCGTTTCTGTTTGAATCGAGATTTCTTGTACCCCATTCCTCCTTCGATGGTTTTAGGTACTTTAACTATTCTTCCACTGTCTGCTTTCTGAACTCTTTTTCTTTTCTTACTTGGTATTT